ATCGAAGACGAAGAGGGCGGGTATCGAGGGTTTGGGAAATTCGCGTTATTCGACACTCGAGCAGATAAGGGCGAACAGTCTTAAAATGATTGTTGTTGTTGTTGTTGTTGTTGTTGTTGTCCCCCCCGCGACCCGCCCGCGACCCGCCCGCGGCCCACCCCGCGACCCACCCCACGACCCACCCCGCGACCCACCCCGCGACCCACCCCGCGACCCAACCCTCGACCCACCCGCGACCCACCTTGCGACCCACCCCGTGACCCGCCCCGTGACCCGCCCGCGACCCACCCGAGACCCACCCCGTGACCCACCCCACGACCCACCCGCGACCCACCCCGCGACCCACCCCACGACCCACGCGCGACCCACCCGCGACCCGCCCGCGATCCACCCTGCGACCCACCCGCGACCCCCCGCGACCCCTGCGACCCCCCGTGACCCGCCCCGTGACCCCCGCGACCCACCCGCGACCCAACCCGCGACCCACCCCACGACCCACCCGCGACCAACCCGCGACCCACCCGCGACCTTCGCGCGACCCACCCGCGACCCATCCCGTGACCCACCCGCGACCCACGCGCGACCCACCCGCGACCCACCCCGTGACCCACCTGCGACCCACCCGCGGCCCACCCGCGACCCAGTCGTGACCGATCCACATTGAAGAGAAATCGGCGCCTGCGGCGGGCTCGTTGTGTAATGTGTGAAATTTTGGCGCCTGCGGCAGGGTTCTCTAGAGTCTTCTTGCATGGCGTTTGGGTAATCTTGGGGCCGATCTTGGCAGCCTTGGGGCGGTTTGTTGCTGTCTTGGAGCTTTGTTGGGGGCCTCTTGGGCCGTTTTCGAAGGCTCTTGAGGGCCTCTTGGACTATCCTTGGGCCGTGTTGGGCCATGGTGGACCGTCCAGGGGTTCTCTTGGAGGCTCTTGCGCCGTCGACTGGCCCTCGCAGGCTGCCCCCACCGCCCCCATCAGTCTTATCCGCATTCGCGGGGGGTTACGGTATAGAATGGGCTCTACAGGCGCCCGCCTGCCCAACTCGTGGGACGTTGGGGCATCTTTCACTGGATTCCCTCGGCGAGCTCCCTGGCCGGCCTGGCGGTGTGGAGTACATTATTATTGTTGTCGTTATTCTTATTATTAGTAGTTTTCGTATTCGTATTATTACTATTATTATTATTGTTGTTATTCGTATTATTATTATGATGATGATTATTATTATCATTATTATTATTATTACGATTAATATTTTTCATTATTATTATTTTTATTATTAGGATTATTATCATTCTTATTCTTCTTCTTATATTTATTACTATATATGGTCGCCCCCGATGATTAGACAGACTCCTCCTCATATTCGGTCGCTTCTTCTCCGTCTTCTCTTTCTATTCAAATGCATCCGTCTTCTCCAAACACAAACCGTTGAACAACGCTGTGTTTATCAGATTTTCAAAGTATTGCAGATCTTCCCAGAGACTGCCTTGGTGCAAAACGTTGTGTGTTTGGAGCTTGTCCTGATATTCCAGGTCTTCCCAGAGACCACCTTGGTGAACAACGCTGTGTTTCCCAGATTTTCCAAATATTCCAGATTTTCCCAGACACCACCCTGGTGAAAAACGCTGTGTTTTCCAGATTTTCCAGATATTCCAGATCCTCTCAGGGACTGCCCTTGCGAACGACGTTATGTTTTCCAGATTTCCCAAATATTCCAGATCCTCCCAAATCTGGGGAGATCTGGACTATCTGGAAAATCTGGAACACACAACGTTTTTCACCAGGGTAGTCTCTGGGAAGATTTAGAATATTTGGAAGTTCGGGAAAAGACAACGTTTTTCACCAGGGTAGTCTCTGAGAAAATCTGGTATATCTGGGAAACCTGGAAAACACAACGTTTTTTTCACAAGGGTAGTCTCTGGGAATATCTGGAATATGTGGAAAACCGGGAAAACAACATTCTTTCAAGTGTCAGTGTCTTAGAAAACGTGGCAAATCTGGAAATCTGGAGAACAACGTGTGTTCAATACCACCCTCCCCACCGATCCCATCATTTTCTTTATCTTTCTCTCTCTCTCTCTCTTTCTCCTCTCTCGCTCTCTGCGGCCGCTGTCGCGACTGCCGCGTGCTCCCCCTGTTTGCGCATCGGGAGACGTCGCGCGCGTGCGGGTCAGGTAATTCCAACGGGGCAGCATTGGCCGCTTGCTGCCCCGCCCGTTGCAGAATGGCACCCCTCTCAGCGGCCTCAAGCCGCACTCGCAAGCGCCGTGTGTACATCGCAACCCTCAGAGCGCCAGCCACCACGAACGCTCTCACGCTGGCGCGGCATCGCTCGAACTCGCAGCCGCGGCGCCCGCCTTTCTTCTTCGGCGTCGGCGTGCTCAAGTCAATGGGCCCCTGGGGCTTCTTGAAGCGGAAGCGGAAAACCTTGGCTCCTTCTTCGTCGACATGGCAGGCGCCGGGGGGGCGGCCGCGGCGGCCGCGTCGGAGGGGCCGTCGTCGCCGTCCATCCCGCCGCCGAAACAAACGACGTTTGGCTCGCCACCTGCGTCGGCGGCGCCGCCCATCCCGCCGCCGAGACCAATGTCGTCGTCATCGTCATCTGGGTTGACGGGGGGGCGGGCGCGGGGGCCGCGGCCGCTCTGGCGGCGGCGGAGGCGTCAGCGCCGACGTCCACCTCACCGTCCATCTCAGGGAAGTTGCACCTCGGGGGCGCGTCCCGGTTGAAGAGCGTGCGGCCGCGGATTGTATTCGAGCGCCCGGCGTCGTCGCCCCGGGCAAGCTTCCTCGTGGCGGCCGCGGCGCACTTCATGTGGATGTCGTAGTCGGGCGGTGCGACAGTCTGGCCCTAACGCTTCAGGATAGGGGTGGCCCCGGGCGTGAAGAGGTCTGGCTTCTCGGGCACTGGCCGCGGGAAGCGGGGAACTGGATCCTTAGCCGCTGGCGCCAGCCACCAGCGCATCCAGTTGTCAGTAAGCAGCGCGATGTTGGACCTCGCCATGTGCGCGCCCACGTCCGCCACGTGGTAGCCGCTCTGCTTATCGCCCGCGAAGTTGCAATCGATGGTTTTGAGGAAGTCGTCGAATTTGATCTCTTCCTTGCCTCTGCGGATGGAACGCGCCTTCTTCTCGAACTTCTCATCGTGCGGGTTGGCGCGGATCTGGCGGGATTGGTTCTGATCGAAGGAGGCGCCGCCCCACCTATGCAGCGCGCGGAAAACGACGCGCGTCAAAACATACATGGGCAAAATGGTTTGCCGCCGTTTGGCGTTTCATTTTTTCGATGGCGTGCGCTGTCCGCGCCCTGCGGCACCGCCCGCGACAGCGCGTCTTCCTCGGCGGGGTCGAGGAAGGCCTTGATCTCATCGGGGGCCTACTTCGTGAGGGCGGTGTCGCCCGCGATAGCGTGCTTGAACGCAGTTCCAGGTTCGAGCCGCAAGAAGTCGATTTTCTTTGTCGTGGCGACGCCCGGGCGGAGGTCGGCGCGGCCGTTCTTATCGATCTGGTTGGCGGAGATGGCGAAGAAGCCGATGGTTTTCGACGCTGTGGATTTGCCGACCCTGGTCTTGCCAATCCACGTGGCCCCGTGCACGTCGTGGCCCTTGAGAATGGGGGCCGCGACGTTGTCGAACACGAACGGGTGGAAGCGCTTGAGCGTGGCCGCCCAGCGCTCGAGTGTTCGTGCGCTGCCTGGCGCGTAATTGCGGAGCGACTCCTTGACCTCGGCCGCCTGCCAGCCGAAGATCGGCGAGTGCCCGTCGTTGATTTTTTCGTCGGTCCACTCCGCGAACTGTCTGCGGTCGTCGGCCCTGGGGCCGAACTCCTGTATGACGCGGCAGCCAGCTCTTCGCTTTCCCTTGTTGTAACCGCCGCCGCCGACGGCTGCGGCCGCGGACGGCTGGGCCCAGTGGCGGATCTGCACCCCGCCCAGCTTGCACATCATTTAGTAGAAGAGCTTGAGTGGCGTCTTAATGTCGGCCGGGCACCCCCCCCCCAGTGGGCGGTGAGCGCCCTGCCCTTCGGCGATGTCGGTCGATCCTTCTTGGCGATGTCGGTCTGAAGCTTATTGTCGAACCTGGCGTGCTTCAGCGCGCGCTGCTCGCATTTCGCGTCCTTCGGCAAGATGTAGAGCTGCATGGTGAACGCGATTTCTTCAGGGTCCTTGTTTGGTTTAAACGGGGCTGGCCTCGCCCTTTAGTTGCCCGCGCGCGTGGCGCCACGCGCGTCGGCTGTGCCCAACTGCTCCGCGGCGCCATCCCCCGCAGTCACCCAACCCGCCAAATGAATCAGACTCGCGACGCTGTCCGCGCATTGGAGCGGCATTTCGCGGGGGGCGAACGCAGCGGGAGGGTCTGATTGGACGCGCCCGGGCTTGTCGAGCTCCTTGTAGGACTGCGCCGCCGCCATGTGCAGCCACGCGTTCTTGATTAGATCAGTGGCGGAGGCGTCGCCGCCGACGATCTCTCCCGTTGATTTGACGCCGCCAGCTGTCGGGCTCGCCATGGCAGGGGGCGGGCGCGCACGGAAGCCTAACGCGAAAGCTTGGCGGCGGGGGGCAACGCGACGGCCGTCGCTCGAACCTGGAACGCAGCGGAACGGGCCCCCCCTCCCCCCCCCCCCCCCCCGCGGCCGCAGCCGCGACGGCCGCGCGCGACGCGCGCGCCCCCCCCCCGCCCCCCCGCGCGCCCCTTGTTTCTTAATGGGGGAGAAGTCGTGCGCGTGCAGGTCTCATAAACTTAGCGGGGCAGCATTGGCCGGTTGCTGCGCCCCCGTTGCGGAGTGGCACCCCGCTCAGCAGTCTCGAGCCGCGCTAACGAATGGCGTGTGTGCATCGCAATTTGGATAGAACGCCAGCCACCACAAGTGCTCTTGCGTTGTTGCAGATCAGAAAGTGGGCCCCGTCAGGTCGCGCAGCATCTCGCCCGTGGCCGACCGCAGGTCGTGTCCGCGATGCCAGTGCTCCTACTGCGCGGATCCGATGCGCGCGGCAATCGCCCTGCTGCGCGGCTTATAAAGTGCGGGGGCCAATGTGGTGCTTGACGTGCTTCCACGCCCTGTCGATGATCTGCGTGCCCGCTTTCACCTTCAGCGCCGTGCCGCTCGGGAGATTGTGCTTCGCGATTTTGGAATGCACGGGCTTGGCCCGCGCCCACTTCCCCCCGCGCTTCGCGCGCTTCTTGCAGTGCACGGCGGAGTCGTGGAACATCCCTGGAGCCTTGGCCCTGTCGCTTGGCGCCGTCCGAGCGGGGAATCACCTTGCGATCCTTGAGGCGGTCCAAGGGAAAGGGCCCCCAGTCGGTATTCTTGATGGCGCCTTGGCCAGGCGCCATCTTCTTCGTGCGGTCCGACTCAGTTCTGAACAGCACCAGGGTCTTTGGCTTGCCCCGCTGCGCAACGCCTGCCCACTGTTCCCACTCTTCATCTCCTTGTCCTCTGTGACCGCAGGAGCGAAGACGGGCGCGTCGGCCTCGACGTCAACCCGCGTCTTCTTGTTGCCGTACACGGTGTCCTTCTCGTATTTTTCCACGCGCTGCTCGCGGTCGAGGTCCAGGTTGCGGGTCATAGTCTCGATCGTCTTGCTGTTGGTGCCGCAGTGCTGGTGGATCTGCGCGGTCGTCATCCCCGTGGGAATGCCGAACATGACCCTGCATTTATCCCTCAACGACGACGTCTGCTTCGCCCGGCGACCAGCGAAAATGGGCGGCAGTGGGCGGGACGCACCTGCTTGCCGCAGTTCCTCCCGTCGTTGCACCGCCGCGCACGGCCCGGACAGCCCTCCCACTCCCTGGCGTAACGTTTACCGAGGGTGCCCTTCCCACAAAATGGGCACGTCAGCTCTGGCCAATCGAGGGGGGGCCCGTCCTTGATCAGGAGGTCCACGAGTTCGCTCTCGTTGCCCGTGTTGAAAGAGTCGACGTTGCGAAGCCACGCGTTGCGCTCCTTCCGTGTCTTCTCGGTGCCATTCATGGTGCGAACGTAGGAAACCGTGCCTTTCTCCTTCCCCCTCTTGCCCTGCACGCGGACCTTCCCCCTCTTGGGCTTTGGGCAGAGTTTGAACGCGGCCGCGGGGGCGCTCGGCGATGGCGCCCTTCCTCGCACCGCGAACGGCGGCGGCGGGGCGCTTCGCCGCGCGGGCAGCGGAAGTGGCAGGGCGTTTCATAGCACATGGGTAAACGAAAATTTGAACCTTACTTTGAGCCAACACAGCAGCTGTGAGGACACTATCTCTTCTTCTCATTGGTGATGATGTTTCCAGAGTTTTCCTGCCGCCCTCTCCCTGGGTTTCTTCCTGGGCCTCCTCCAAGGCCCTCTCGTGTGTCTCTCGAGCGTGTTTCTGGCGTCGGCCCCTGTTGGCCCCCCGCGTTCCCTCGCGTCTCCTGCCGGCGCTTCGCGACGACGATGATGATTGTTTCTCCAGGCTCCCGCGCGCGGCCGCAGCGCGGGCGAGCTCGCCTAAGGCGCGTGTTCTCCCTGTCCTGCTGAGCCGCCGCCGCAGCCCAAGAGCCGTTCGGCGCGTCCGCCGCCTTGCTGAGTTCGAGCTTCAAGCGCTTGTTGGCCTGTCGACGGCGCAGCGCGTCTTCCTCTAGCTGGTCGTTCTCCTTGCGCAGGAGCTGGTTCTCCAGCTTCAGCTCGTCCTGGAGGTTGTGCTCGCTCGGTTGGTCTTCCTTCTGCTCCTGGTCCGCGTCGTTGTTCGGGTCGGGGTCGTCGCTGCTCTCGCCCTTGGCGCTGCGGGGGGGCTCTCGTCGTCGCCCGAGGCCGCGGCGGGCGCAGCCGGCGCTGGCGGCGCAGGGGGCGCGAGCAAGGGCGGCTGTGCTGCTGGCCCAGCAGGCGGGGCAGGCAAGGCCGGGGCCCCGAGCGACGGCTGCGGGCCGCGGCGCTCCAGCTTCCTCCTGCGCAACGCACCGCGCAGCCTCTCCCAGGCCTCGGCGGGCCACCCCCCTCTGGTCCCGCTCCGCAAGGAAAGGGCCCGCTGCGCGTTGGCAATGCCTACGTTGAGCTCATGCTTGGTGAGAGGCTCGCGGGGCGCGTGCAGCTGAATGTCCCCCGTCTGGGTGCGGCCTATGATCTCTTCGCGCGCGCGCGCGCGGGGTGGGGGTGGGGGTGTGTGTGGGGGGGGGGGTCTGCCGCGGGGGGGCGCTCGGCGAACTGGAGATCCAGCCGAGCAGCGCCCCCGGCGCCGACGCGCGCCACGCCGCCCGTGATCGAAAACATCTTGTGCGCAGGTCTGGCGTGCAGCGATCTACGAGGATTGGCTTTTGAGCCTGTCTACCTACGGACCTGTTCCATCATCCAAATCTCTCTCTCGCTCTCTCTCTCTCTCTCTCTCTCTCTCTCTCTCCTCTCTCTCTCTCTCTCGTTCTCTCTTTCTTTCTTCTCTCTCTCTCTCTCTCTCTCTCTCTCTCTCTCTCTCTCTCTCTCTCTCTCTCTTTCTCTCTCTCTCTTTCTCTCTTTCTCTCTCTCTTTCTCTTTTCTCTTTCTTTCTCTCTCTCTCTCTCTCTCTCTCTCTCTCTCTCTCTCTCTCTCTCTCTCTCTCTCTCTCTCTCTCTCTCGTCTCTCTCTCTCTCTCTTCTTTTTTTTTTTTTCTTTCTTTCTCTTTCTCTCTCTCTCTCTCTCTCTCTCTCTCTCTCTCTCTCTCTCTCTCTCTCTCTCTCTCTCTCTCTCCCTCTTGCTTCCCCTCCCGCATGTTCCGCAGTGCAACAGGTAATATATAATGGTGGCTATATTGGGTCGCGCTCGGAGCCGAGAGGCGGATGAGAGGGGGGGAGAAGGATATGAGAGAGGGGGCAGGCTGATAGAGGGAGGAGGGGGATGAGAGAGCGGACGGGGTGGATAGAGGGAGCCATGAGGGAGAGAGGGGCGAGGAGAGAGGAGGATGTCGAAGGGGCATCGCATTCGCGATCCCCCTCATGGCTCCCTCGCAAGGAGGAGGAAGCATAATAAGGAATACTTATGATAATGAGAACGGTAATTGAAAGCGTGAGAATGATGAGACTGGGGAGAGGGATGGGGGGGGGGGGGATAATGAGGAAGAGACAGGGAAGGAGGAGAGAAGGCGAAATGCATGATCATATGGAGGGGGGGGGGGGGGGGGGCGAACGCGCGCATGCGCGCGCGCGCGCACGCGCACGCGCGCGCGCACACGCACGCGCACACGCACGCGCGCATGCGCACGCGCACGCGCACGCACGCGCACACGCACGCGCACGCGCGCAAGAACACGCGCACGCACGCGCACGCGCGCGCACGGAGCACGCGCACGCGCGGCGCACGCGCGCGCGCACGGCGCCGGCGCGGCGCTCGCGCGCGCACGCGCAAGCGCACACGCGCCACGCACACGCGCGCGCACACGCACACGCACACGCACGCGCACGCGCACGCGCACGCGCACGCACACACGCACACACGCACACACGCAGACACGCACACACGCACACACGCAGACACGCAGACACCGCAGACACGCGCGCGCGCAACACGCGCACACGCGCACACGCGCACACGCGCACGCGCGCACACGCGCACACGCGCGCGCACGCGCGCGCGCGCACGCGCACACGCGCGCGCGCGCGCGCACGCGCTCACACGCGCACACGCGCGCACGCGCGCGCGCGCACGCGCGCACGCGCACGCGCGCGCGCACGCGCGCACATGCGCACACGCGCTCACGCGCACACACGCGCACGCGCACACGCGCACACGCGCACACGCGCACGCGCGCGCGCACGCGCGCGCACTCGCGCGCGCAGGCGCGCGCAGACGCGCTCACGCGCACGCGCGCAGACGCGCAGACGCGCGCACGCGCACGCGCGCACGCGCGCGCGCGCACACGCGCACGCGCGCACGCGCGCAGGCGCGCAGACGCGCAGACGCGCGCACGCGCAGACGCGCAGACGCGCGCGCGCGCAGGCGCGCAGACGCGCAGACGCGCAGACGCGCAGACACACAGACACACAGACGCGCAGACGCGCAGATGCGCAGGCGCGCAGACGCGCAGACGCGCAGACGCGCAGACGCGCAGACGCGCAGACGCGCAGACACGCAGAGACGCAGAGACGCAGGCACGCAGACACGCAGACACGCAGACGCGCAGACACGCAGGCACGCAGACACGCAGACACGCAGACACGCAGACGCGCAGACGCGCAGACACGCAGACGCGCAGACACACGCGCAGACGCGCAGACACGCAGACGCGCAGACGCGCAGACGCGCAGACGCGCAGACGCGCAGACGCGCAGACACGCAGAGACGCAGAGACGCAGGCGCGCAGACACGCAGACGCGCAGACACGCAGACACGCAGACACGCAGACACGCAGACACGCAGACACGCAGACACACAGACACACAGACACACAGACACACAGACGCACCGACGCACAGACACACAGGCACACAGACACACAGACACACACAGACACACAGACACACAGACACACAGACACACAGGCACACAGACACACAGACACACAGACACACAGACACACAGACACACAGACACACAGACACACAGACACACACACACAGACACACAGACACACAGACACACAGACACACAGACCACACACAGACACACAGACACACAGACACACAGACACACAGACACACAGACTGACACACACACCACATACACCCAACAAGGCCCACAGACACACAGACCACACAGAAACACACGACAGACACAGACACACAGACACACAGACACACAGACACACAGACAGGCACACAGACACACAGACACACAGACACACAGACACACAGACACACAGACACACAGACACACAGACACACAGACACACAGGCACACAGACACACAGACACACATACACACACAGACACACACACAGACACACACACAGACACACACAGACACACAGACACACACAGACACACACAGACACACACGGACACACCCACAGACACACACACAGACACACACAGACACACACAGACACACACACAGACACACACAGACACACACACACACATCCGTAGCCATTTTGGCTCAAGGCCATGGAGCACCCGACGACCGCGAGTCGTCCGCGGCGCTTTGAGCGAGAGGGGCTCCGCGCCTTGGGCCAGCTCTCGTGTGTGAGTTCTCTGGGCCTCGGGCTTCAGCCGAGAGGCCGCAGTTTGGGGCCGCGAGGCCATTCGTCAGTTCCTGCCTTGTCATGGTGGCGCACGGACAGCCAGCTGGAGGCCGCTCTCGGGGCGACTTCGAGGGGGGCGGCAAGGCCAAGAGCAACTGGAGCTACTGGGTCTGCTCCAGCCGCCTCTGCAGGGAATGGAACTGGTGCTCGCTCTGGCAGTGCCGCAGCTGCGGCCGAGTGGCCCCGCCGTGGGTCAAGGCAGCCCAGCCGCCCGCGGCCGCCGCTGGCCTGGAGCAGCCTGCCGCTGACGCCGAGGGCTTTGTCGTCCAGCCCCGTGGGAGGAAAGCGAAGCGCCAGGCCAAGCGCGCTGCTGCCCGCGCAGCCAGCGCGGGGGCCGCCGGCCTGGCAGGCGCCAGCGAGGCCAGCAGCAGGCAGCTGTCGGAAGTCGAGCGGCACCGCCAGGAGGTCAAGCGCATCGAGGACTTCCTGGCGGCCCTTGGCGGGTCCATCGATGATGCGTGCCTGCAGTCGCTGCGTGCGGCCCTTGACCGTGAGCGTCGCAGACTCGCGGAAGCGGGGGCGGCGCAGGCTGATCGCAGGAAGGCCGACCCCCCCCTGCCCAAGGCGCTCTACGGCGCTGGCAACGCCCTGGGTAAGATGGTCAGGCAGGGGCGGGCCAAGGAGCAGGCGCTGCTCAAGGCGGAGGAGGCCCACGCGGCGGCCATCAACGAGCGTCATGAGGCAGTCGCTCGGGAGGCCGCGTGCGCAGAGGCCGTCGAGGAGTGCCGAGCTGCCCTCGAGGCTCACCGCGAGGAGCAGAAGGCCGCGGAGGCCAGGCAGGCCCAGGAGGTTGGGGCAGCCTTCGCTGGCACGGACCTGCTCGGGCTCGTCTTCGGCCTCATTCAGCAGGTTGAGGCCTTGCCGCAGGGGTTCGCCGCAGGCAGCGGGGAGGCCGCCATCGCCGAGGTCGCCGAGCAGATCGCTGCGGTCCGCAGGCAGGCACCCCCTGAGCCCAAGGGCCGCTCATCCTGGGCCGACACTCCCGTCGACGTCTCCGACGAGGACCTCGATGGAGATGACGAGGAGCTGACCCGAGCGTCGTCGGTCCCGTCCGTGCAGGATGCCGCCGAGCGTGGACAGGCAGCGCGGCGAGGAGCGGCGCGCGGCGCATGGCCCGCAGCCCAACCGCTGGCCAGGAGCCTTGCCAACCCTGGAGCGGCCCTCCTCGACGACCAGCCGCTGGCCACGGCCGCTGATGGCCCTGCTGCTGGCAGCCGCAGGTGTCCTTGACGTCGCTGCGGCAGGCCCGCGTGCTGATAGCGGCAGGAGGGCTATGCGGCGCCTGAGCGGGCCACATGCGAGGTCGGCACCAGGCTGTGGGGGAGAGTTGAGGGCCGCCGACGGGCGGGTGGCCGATGCCCCTCACCCCCCCGCGCTCCCCGTCGAGGCCGCTGGCGAGCGGGTGGCCGAGTCCCTCGACGGGTTTAGCGAAGCCGTGGTGCCGAGCGGCCAGAGGACGAGGATGACTGCGCAGGAGGCTTGCATTGGCAAGGCTCGCTTCGGGCCCCCGCCCGCACCAGGGTCGGGCCCTGTCAGTCAGTGCCCACTGCGGGCTGGCCTGGAGGTCATGGGCCGGATTGGCAACGTCGGGCACAGGAGCGTCGAGGTCATTGAGGCCTTCTTCCACGCCCACCAGTCCTGGCCGCAGCTGGTCCTCCTGCGGGATACGAGGCTGACCCAGGGGCGTCGGCTTGGGGCCAGGGCGACGGCGCGCCGTCTCGGATACACCGCCTTCCTCCACGAGGCGGTGGCCACGGAGCAGTCTGGCCCGAACGCCACGTCGGGCGGCGTCGCGATCCAGGTGGGGGTCGGGCTCCAGGCCGAGGAGTTGGGCTGGCCAGCTGGGGTCCGCGGGCAGGTGCTGGGGCCTTCGGAGGCGACCTGCTGTGCCCAGGGCCAGGAGCGCGTCTTCGATTGGTTCTTCGAGTCGTCGGACCTGGCCAGCTGCGCGGCGTCCTGCACGACCACGCTCAGTGACTTCGGGCTGCGCCCGCATTCCCTTGTGCCGCCGCGCCTCCAGGGCGTCAGGTGCGTCGCCCTGGTCGAGGTGCCCCGCGCGGCTTCCTGAGATGGAGGTCCTGGGTATGCGGCCCCGCGATGCCGCCCTGGTCCAGGCCTTCGCGTTCGGCAAGCGCGGGAAGGTGGCGCAGAAGGAGGTTACTTGGTCAACGGCGCAGGGTTCGGGCCCGATCGCTCTCTCCGCGGCCTTCGGCGAGTGGATCGAGGCGGCGGAGGGCGCTCTCTCGGGCATCCACGTGACCGCGACAGACGACCTGCCGCGCTTCCTTGGGCGTGCGGCATGGCCCATGTTCAGGCGCGCGCCCTTCAGCGCGCTGGTGCTGCGGGGGGCCTGGTTGAAGTGCAGCATGCTGGCCCGCCGCCTGAGGAGCTGCCTTGCCGTCGCCCTCCAGAGGGTTCGGGCTGAGCAGGCCAGCAGGTGGCACCCGAACCACTCTTGGTGGTATGTGCAGGAGGCGGCGGCGATGGCGAAGCCCCCAGACGAGGCGACCCAGGCTGCGACTGGCCCTCGGGGCGAGGCCCCCCCCTGGAGCCTCCGACGAGAAGTGGGTCGACCTCGCCTTCCACGCGGGGGGAATGGGCTGCCCCGCGGCGATCGCCAAGTTACAGTCGGGCCCCCTGGTTTCACAGAGGCGCGATGCCGCCGAGGGCGCGGCAGCTTGGCGCAGCTGGGCCCAGGCGGCTGTGGAGGAAGGAGGCCTCGAGCCCACCGCCTCTCCAAGGCGGCTCCCGCGCCTGAGGTCATCGACGCCGACGCTGGGAGGCCGCTCGTCGGCATGGGCGCCGCGAGCCAGCCCACGCGCGCGTTGCTGCGGCTCTGGCTCCAGGAGGGCTTTTCCCGCAGGGGCGGGGCCCACAGGTGGGATGTTGGCTCTTCGACGCTGCCGCCCATCACCCTGGGGGACCTGCAGCAGGCGTGCAGGCGCTTCGGCCCGTATGTGGGGTCGGGCTGCGTCTACCTGCTCCCTCGCCAGCTCCTCCTGCAGCCAGAGGCGCTGCCGCTTCGCTGGTCAGACTTCCTGGTGGCGTTCGAGGACGAGCCTTCTTCGTTCAGGGGCAGGTGGCGCTCGCGGCTGCCATCCCCAAGCCGACGGAGGGACGCGGCCCATCGCGCTGCTCCCGCTGGCCCTGCGGCTGGGGTCCCGCCTGAGGCAGCCGTGCTACGCCCGTTGGGGGCCAGACCACCGTTGCCCCCTCTTCTGGGGCCGTGATGGACGTGGCTCGGTGTGCAGCCTGATGCGCCAGCAGGAGTCGCGGGCAGCGCCCTGGTTGCAGGTGCTGCAGAGTGCGGCGCAGGCGAAGCGGCCGCCTCATCGGCCGAGGAGCCCGCGGCGGCTGGTGGCACCGCGGACGGAGCGGGATTGCGGAGGCCTGGCTGGATGCGCACGGCCTCGATGAGGAGAGCCTGCTGGGCTGGGCGGAGGGGGCCGCCGAGGCCGTCTCGAGCGCCAGGGCAATTTTGGACCCCTAGTGGCCGCGGGCCTCTGCGTGCGGGCGTTTGGGTTCCCGCGCCTCGCCTGCCCCGCCGTGCTGCTTGGGGCGTGCTAGCAGGTTTGGGGCTTCGCCCGTCGCGTGTTTGCACAGTTGTATATATTCCAGCGCTTCGCGCTAATGCCCCTTGACGGGGGCTCGAGCTGTCTGGCCGTGTGGCGCCTCGGGGCCGAGGTGCCCTGGTGGCAGCCCTTTGCGGCTCGTCTGGGCTCTCGGGCCCCCCTGTGGCCCGCCCCTGTCTTGGGGTGGCCCCTTCGGGCCTCGGCCCCTCAGTGGGGCCTGGGCCCCGTGTGGACTTCTTTCTGCCTTTGTAGGCCCCGCGCTAACACACAGACACACACACGCATACACACACAGACACACACACAGACACACACACAGACACACACACATACACACACGCACAGACACACGCACAGACACACACAGACACACGCAGACGCACGCAGACACACAGAGACACACAGAGACACACAGAGACACACAGAGACACACAGAGACACACAGAGATACACATAGACACACAGAGACACACAGAGACACACAGAGACACGCAGGGACACACAGAGACACACAGAGACACACAGAGACACACAGAGACACACAGAGACACACAGAGACACACAGAGACACACAGAGACACACAGAGACACACAGAGACACACAGAGACACACAGAGACACACAGAGACACACAGAGACACACAGAGAGGCACACAGAGACACACAGAGACACACAGAGACACACAGAGACACACAGAGACACACAGAGACACACAGAGACACACAGAGACACACAGAGACACACAGAGAGGGACACACAGAGACACACAGAGAGGCACACAGAGACACACAGAGACACACAGACACACAGAGACACACAGAGACACACAGAGACACACAGAGACACACAGAGACACACACACAGACACACAGACACACACAGACGAGACACACACACACAGACACACACAGAGCACACACACAGAGACACACAGAGACACACAGAGACACACAGAGACACACAGAGACACACAGAGACACACAGAGACACACAGAGACACACAGAGACACACAGAGACACACAGAGACACACATATACACACAGAGACACACAGAGACACACAGAGACACACAGTGACACGCAGACACACACAGAGACACACAGAGACGCACAGATACGCACATAGACACACACGGAGGCGCACAGAGACACACACGGACACACACAGACACACACAGGCACACACAGACACACACAGACACACACAGACACACACACACAGGCACACACAGGCACTCACAGACACACACAGACACACACAGACACACACATACACACAAACATA